CGTTTCTGCACAGACAACTAATTGTTTGCACGTATTCATGTGGCCACAATCTGTTCATTTACCAACGGGTTCGTGGGTTCTTTAAAGTGCACAAGGTTGTGTACTGTACACTAGGGGTTGTGACAACACTGAAAGAGTTTGCACACAAAGTTGACTCCAAGGTTTTCCACCCAGTCACAGGTGGGCTCCAGCCCGGCACCTCATCACTAGCCTGGCGCTTTAGACACTGGCGCTCTCCCACCACGCTATGTACTATAAAACCCTACAATATTAGGTTGTACAAGAGATGATCAACGTCAGTGTGTATGAAAATACTGTTTCATTCAGCAAATCAAATTTGGTTGACTGGTCATTTTCACCCAATCTCATTCATCTCTGTCAGTGGAATTATATGTGTATAATATAAGTGACTGGTATTGTGGGGGGCATTTAGGCTATGTTGATTGACATCATGAGTGGAATTATATGTATACTATAAGTGACTGGTATTGTGGGAGGCGTTGAGGCTATGTTGATTGACATCATGAGTGGAATTATATGTGTATACTATAAGTGACTGGTATTGTGGGAGGCGTTGAGGCTATGTTGATTGACATCATGAGTGGAATTATATGTGTATAATATAAGTGACTGGTATTGTGGGAGGCGTTGAGGCTATGTTGATTGACATCATGAGTGGAATTATATGTGTATACTATAGAAGTGACTGGTATTGTGGGAGGCATTTAGGCTATGTTGATTGACATCAGGAGTGGAATTATATGTGTATACTATAAGTGACTGGTATTGTGGGAGGCGTTGAGGCTATGTTGATTGACATCATGAGTGGAATTATATGTGTATACTATATAAGTGACTGGTATTGTGGGAGGCGTTGAGGCTATGTTGATTGACATCATGGAGTGGAATTATATGTGTATACTATAAGTGACTGGTATTGTGGGAGGCATTGAGGCTATGTTGATTGACATCATGGAGTGGAATTATATGTGTATACTTTAAGTGACTGGTATTGTGGGAGGCATTTAGGCTATGTTGGTTGACATCATGGAGTGGAATTATATGTGTATACTATAAGTGACTGGTATTGTGGGAGGCGTTGAGGCTATGTTGATTGACATCATGAGTGGAATTATATGTGTATACTATAAGTGACTGGTATTGTGGGAAGCATTTAGGCTATGTTGAATGACATCATGATGGGAGTTATATGTGTATAAGTGACTGGTATTGTGGGGGCGTTGAGGCTATGTTGGTTGACATCATGAGTGGAATTATGTGTATACTATAAGTGACTGGTATTGTGGGAGGCGTTGAGGCTATGTTGGTTGACATCATGAGTGGAATTATATGTGTATACTATAAGTGACTGGTATTGTGGGAGGTGTTGAGGCTATGTTGGTTGACATCATGAGTGGAATTATATGTGTATAAGTGACTGGTATTGTGGGGAGGTGTTGAGGCTATGTTGGTTGACACCATGAGTGGAATTATATGTGTATAATGTAAGTGACTAGTATTGTGGGAGGCGTTGAGGCTATGTTGGTTGACATCATGAGTGGAATTATATGTGTATAAGTGACTGGTATTGTGGGAGGCGTTGGGGAGGCTATGTTGGTTGACACCATGAGTGGAATTATATGTGTATAATGTAAGTGACTGGTATTGTGGGAGGCGTTGAGGCTATGTTGGTTGACATCATGAGTGGAATTATATGTGTATAATATAAGTGACTGGTATTGTGGGAGGCATTTAGGCTAGGTTGATTGACATCATAAGTGGAATTATATATTGTATAATATAAGTGGCTGGTATTGTGGGAGGCATTTAGGCTAGGTTGGTTGACATCATGAGTAGAATTATATGTGTGTATACTATAAAGTGACTGGTATTGTGGGGAGGCGTTGAGGCTATGTTGGTTGACATCATGAGTGGAATTATATGTGTATACTATAAGTGACTGGTATTGTGGGAGGCGTTGAGGCTATGTTGATTGACATCATGAGGTGGAATTATATGTGTATACTATAAGTGACTGGTATTGTGGGAGGCGTTGAGGCTATGTTGATTGACATCATGAGTGGAATTATATGTGTATACTATAAGTGACTGGTATTGTGGGAGGCGTTGAGGCTATGTTGATTGACATCATGAGTGGAATTATATGTGTATAAGTGACTGGTATTGTGGGAGGCGTTGAGGCTATGTTGATTGACATCATGAGTGGAATTATATGTGTATACTATAAGTGACTGGTATTGTGGGAGGCGTTTAGGCTATGTTGATTGACATCATGAGTGGAATTATATGTGTATACTATAAGTGACTGGTATTGTGGGAGGCGTTGAGGCTATGTTGATTGACATCATGAGTGGAATTATATGTGTATACTATAAGTGACTGGTATTGTGGGAGGCGTTGAGGCTATGTTGATTGACATCATGAGTGGAATTATATGTGTATACTATAAGTGACTGGTATTGTGGGAGGCGTTGAGGCTATGTTGGTTGACATCATGAGTGGAATTATATGTGTATAAGTGACTGGTGGTATTGTGGGAGGCGTTGAGGCTATGTTGATTGACATCATGAGTGGAATTATATGTGTATACTATAAGTGACTGGTATTGTGGGAGGCATTGAGGCTATGTTGATTGACATCATGAGTGGAATTATATGTGTATACTATAAGTGACTGGTATTGTGGGAGGCGTTGAGGCTATGTTGATTGACATCATGAGTTGAATTATATGTGTATACTATAAGTGACTGGTATTGTGGGGAGGCATTGAGGCTATGTTGGTTGACATCATGAGTGGAATTATATGTGTATACTATAAGTGACTGGTATTGTGGGAGGCATTGAGGCTATGTTGATTGACATCATGAGTGGAATTATATGTGTATAATATAAGTGACTGGTATTGTGGGAAGCATTTAGGCTATGTTGATTGACATCATGATGGGAATTATATGTGTATATACTATAAGTGACTGGTATTGTGGGGGGGCGTTGAGGAGGCTATGTTGGTTGACATCATGAGTGGAATTATATGTGTATACTATAAGTGGCTGGTATTGTGGGAGGCGTTGAGGCTATGTTGGTTTACATCATGAGTGGAATTATATGTGTATAAGTGACTGGTATTGTGTGGGAGGTGTTGAGGCTATGTTGATTGACACCATGAGTGGAATTATATGTGTATAATGTAAAGTGACTGGTATTGTGGGAGGCGTTGAGGCTATGTTGGTTGACATCATGAGTGGAATTATATGTGTATAGAGTGACTGGTATTGTGGGAGGTGTTGAGGCTATGTTGGTTGACACCATGAGTGGAATTATATGTGTATAATAAATAAGTGACTGGTATTGTGGGGAGGCATTGAGGCTATGTTGATTGACATCATGAGTGGAATTATATGTGTATAATATACGTGGCTGGTATTGTTGGAGGCATTTAGGCTATGTTGGTTTGACATCATGAGTGGAATTATATGTGTATAATATAAGTGGCTGGTATTGTGGGAGGCGTTGAGGCTATGTTGATTGACATCATGAGTGGAATTATATGTGTATACTATAAGTAACTGGTATTGTGGGAGGTATTGAGGCTATGTTGATTGACATCATGAGTGGAATTATATGTGTATAATATAAGTGGACTGGTATTGTGGGAGGCGTTTAGGCTATGTTGATTGACATCATGAGTGGAATTATATGTGTATAATATAAGTGACTGGTATTGTGGGAGGCGTTGAGGCTATGTTGGTTGACATCATGAGTGGAATTATATGTGTATACTATAAGTGACTGGTATTGTGGGAGGCGTTGAGGCTATGTTGATTGACATCATGGAGTGGAATTATATGTGTATAATATAAGTGACTGGTATTTGTGGGAAGCATTTAGGCTATGTTGAATGACATCATGATGGGAATTATATGTGTATAAGTGGACTGGTATTGTGGGGGCGTTGAGGCTATGTTGGTTGACATCATGGGTGGAATTATATGTGTATAATATAATGACTGGTATTGTGGGAGGTGTTGAGGCTATGTTGGTTGACACCATGAGTGGAATTATATGTGTATAATGTAAGTGACTGGTATTGTGGGAGGCGTTGAGGCTATGTTGGTTGACATCATGAGTGGAATTATATGTATAATATAAGTGACTGGTATTGTTGGAGGCGTTGAGGCTATGTTGATTGACATCATGAGTGGAATTATATGTGTATAATATAAGACTGACTGGTATTGTGGGAGGCATTGAGGCTATGTTGATTGACATCATGAGTGGAATTATATGTGTATAATATAAGTGGCTGGTATTGTGGGAGGCATTTAGGCTAGGTTGGTTGACATCATGAGTAGAATTATATGTGTATAATATAAGTGGCTGGTATTGTGGGAGGCATTGAGGCTATGTTGATTGACATCACGAGCATCGATCTACGCAAAATGTCCACAATGACTTGCAGCAACCAGGGCCCCCTTACACAAAGTTCTCGTAAAGCCTAAGATCTCGTAACTTTTCTCGTATCTGCTGTACCTCCTATACTGTAACATAGGAGATGTTACGAGATCTTGTGCTTACGAGAGCTGTGTGAAACAGGGCCTCCTTTCAAAAGCTCTAAGGTGATCGTAAGTCACTTTGGTAACCTTAGTGCAATGGTAAAGAATGGGAGTTAAGGTTAACCTTAGTAAAGGTTGCTTCGTGAAATGAGCCCCAGGTCAGCGATCCTGACCACCCAATCCCGTTACTCACCTCATTAGAGAAGCATTGGTTAACGTAGGCCAACTCTAACCACATCTTCACCAGTGATAAGTATGATTATCTATTTTTTGATATTTTCAATGTCTATTCCAACATGGCGTGTGTATATTTTAACAGATTATATATGATTATCCCTGTCAAATGTTGTATATTATGTATAATATGTTTGATTTTTCTCATGTTTGAATAGCTATGAATTAGGAATGAAAGTATATAAATCTGACTCTCGTGGTATTTTGTCTTTTTATGAAACAGTTTTGGATGTTTCAAGTCTACTATTTTACTACCAAATACAAGAATGATTATCTTGCCGGTCATAATCCAATGCATAAAAATACAGATCTCAAGTTTGATGCTCACAGTTAAGAACTCAGCCTAAGAGCAAAGAACCATATTGATCCATAACAGTAGGATGTGTCACTGTTAACTATTTGTCAAAGATTTCTATCGGTACAACAAATCCACTGATCTGACATTACATGTGACTAGACCTTCTTCAGAGAACTTCAGAGAAGTATTAGATAAGTGTTCAGAACTAAAGTCTGCTACAGGTACCCTTCCAGCAACACAAAGGCTGAAGAATGCCCCGACAATTCCCCCCTTGTAGTGCATGGACCACGACATCCACCAAAGGCAGTGGTAGAAAAGATCACGAGCAAATTCCATGAAATGGAAGCTAAAGGCCACAGTCTAAAGTAACAGAGCCGACAGACTGGATGAGCTCAGTTGAGATAGTTGTCAAGGGTGACAAAGTGTGGATATGCCTGATCCACAAGACTTGAATTGGGCAACACCGAGGGAGCACTATCCAGTTCCTACAATAGAGGAAGTCGTTGCATCATTCCCAACCGTAAAGGTATTTTCCGTGTTGGATGCAAAATCAGGATTTCTCAAATTCTGCTGGACTATGAATCATGTCTGTTACCAACATCCAACACTTCAATAGGCAGGTTCAGATGATTCGGTGTAAAGCCGGCTCCAGCCACCACACAATGGACACTATGCAAGTCGGAGCGAGAGTGATTATGGATCTCGTTCTCATTGGCGGTGAACACGCTGCTGATCTTAATCGTATAATGTAGGAGGTTACACACAGAGCTGCTTAGTAAATCGTCGACTGAACTATTGGCAAGTGCTACGTGAAACAGCAAAAAATCAAATATGCTGGACATGTGGTAAATAAGAATGATCTTGAAGCAGATCCAAGTAAAGTGCGAGTGCTGACGGTGATGTTTGAGACTTACTTGGGATGATCCAGTATCTGTCCAAATTCCTTGCCTAATCTGAGTGAGACAGATGCAACACTGAGAGAGGTCATTAAGAAAGACGTGGACTTATTTCCTTGGAGAAGCCACAGCAAACGTCCGATGAAATACTCAAAGATTTGATCAGCACAGCGCCTGTGTTGACCAGGTTTCATGTGCGCAAATCGTCCAATATCAATGTGATGCAAACAGTATTGCTTTAGGGACAGTACTTCTACAAGGACACCCAGCTGCTTCCTCACCAAAGGCCCTTACTCAGACGGCTTGCAATAGTTCATAACTGCAAGAAGTTTCATTATTACATATTTGGACACACAGTGACAATTGAATCAGACCCCAAGCCCGTCCAGAGCATATTCAGCAAGCCATTCCTGAGCTCCTATGAGACTGCAGTCAGTGATGCTAAGGTTGCAGTCAAATGACCTTAATGTAACCTACAAGCTGGGTAAGGATATACCAATAGGCGACGCTTTGAGTCGGGCCACCATGCCAGATTTAGAAGCTGTCATTGAGTTTATCGCTGTGACCCACCTGTTTGATATCAACAGTTTCAGCAACGCACAGTAGAAGAAATAAATGAGCTTCACGCTATCGTCCAGAAACACTGGCCCAACAATAAAGGAGACACTCCACATTCCATCCGACAGTATTGGAACCAGAGAGATGAACACTCTTTCTCTGATGGAATGGTATACAAAGGTGAGCGAAACGTGGTTCTACCTAGCATGAAATCAGACATGATGAAATAGATCCATGCTTCCCACCTTGGTATCACCAAATGCAAACAGCAAGCTCGTGAAGCTGTCTACTGGCCATGTACGACATCTGCATGTACGACATCTGCCATATATCCTGTTGATAAGTTTGCGTGTAGAGTTATCTCCCTTGAATAAACGCTTCCAACTTGGCTACGACGGACGTGTCAGTCACATATGTTACAGAAACTTTCATTTCCCGGTCCAAGGTTTATTGTGCAAAATATCGTGACCATAGCTACATCTATGATCAGAGGTTCCATGAGATTTGTTAAAATGAAGGCAATGTCATCTTAACGTTATTGGGTACATAATACATGAAATGTGAAATATGTAAACTTTGAAGTTTTAGCATTCAGGCAATAAATAGGCATCCCCATGGGCACCAGCTGTGTTCCCTTTTACCTGATCTGATACTACATATCAGTCGGAATTTCTCTTTAGATGAGCAGATTGGAAACATGGTAATATGGCCAAGAAGTTCAGCTTCATCGGTATAGCGATGATATGGTATCATTCGATAACTACCATAAAACGAATGTGAAACAAGTGTTTCAAACTGAGATCTATGGTCAGAGAGTGTCAATACTCGTTCCCCAAGACTAAAGGCTAAAATATAACCAGTGAAGTGAAATGTAAGAACAGTATTTAAGATAAAAGTTGGCATAAATATACTGAACATCATTGAAAACGCACCACTTATAAAAGTTCAGATTATTAAAAGCACGTGTAAGGAATTGATATTTTTGAGTGGATAATAACAGATGGACGACTGACAAAAACAACAACACAGAAAAGACGCTCATTCATTGAAATGTTCCACAGTCAGAAAGGATCAAACACACGTCGGGTCAAATCGAAAAGTCAATATCGCGTGTGACCGTCATTTGCATTGACACATGCAGTTCAACGTCTCCTCATTGAGTCAATAAGCGTCCGAATAGAGTTCTTGAGGATGGCATTCCACTTCTGCAGTAGTGCAGCCTCAAGTTCCCGGATGTTTCGCATCTGTTGTCGCTTCATGGGGATACATCCGGGGACTGTGCTGGCCAATGAATAACCTGGATGTGTTGCTGGGCCAGATACTGCATGGAAAGTCTTGTTGTGTGTGCCCGTGCGTTGTCCTGTTGAAAAGTATGGACATCTTGGTGGTGATTGAAGACAGATACGATGTGATTCTGAAGAATCTTCTCACGGTAATAAAGGGCATTAACTCTCCCTTGACAGACATGAAGGCAGTCCTGTGATTGTAATTTATTCCACCCCAGACCATGACACTCCCACCACCCAAAGGTCTGTCTGAACCACACACTCATCAGCATAACGTTCACCACGTCTACGCCAAACACGTAATCGGCCGTCAGCATTATGTAGATAAAGACGTGACTCGTCAGTGACTACCACACCATGCCATTGATGTAACTTACTGAAAATGCCTGCTAGCCCATTGTATACGCTCATTACGGCGTCTGTCAGTCAGAATTGGTCCAACGTAAGGACATCGAGCATGGAGCCATGTAGCGTGTAGACGGCGTCGCATGGAGTCAGCGCTGATGACCCCACGTCAACCTAGAACTAGTGCAGCAGTCCTGGCAGTCGGCAGTCGGCAGTGTTCAATCACTGATATGGACAAGGTCAATAGTGCGATCCTGATGGAGCGTCGTAACACGTTGTTGCCAAGTTCATTGAAGGTCACGGGTACTGCCTGTCTACTGATGTCGTCTATGAAGCCTCACGATGGTGGAGTGGCCAAGTCCAAGTTGTCGAGCAATATCCCTGCTGCTGGTGCCAACCTGAATCATGCCTAGTGCACGTTCTCTTTCGTGAGGTCTTAACCTCGGTTTCTCTGTCCTCGTTTCACAATCGTTAGTGAAGCAATGAGAATCGGTACTCATACACCTGCTTTTAATATCACAGTCAGTATGATTTCAGAATAAAATTCGCGCTTTTCATTTTCTGCATGTTGATGCATTTGGGAATTAAGAGTCATACTGTGGACATGAATTTGCTTCTAAAGCATTTTTGTCAACTGGACATGCCCTTGGACTTCATGTTAGTTATATTCATTGATCATTGTCATGCTGAAATCCATGTTGATGAAAAATATGGAAAATTTTAGACTGGTGCGTTTTCAATGATGATCAGTATATATTGTACAAATCAAGCCCGCAAGATCGTCAGAGAAAACACTCAGTCGGAAACATGAGAACTGTTATGTAAACAAACGGTGTGTGTATTGAACCTCTTACCGTTCATGGTCCTATCTTTATTAAATCAGGCAGCATATTGCTGTTAGCTGTGTTATTTGTAATGTCAAATGATGACACATAGTTTTTCAGGATTTTTGATACAATCACATCGTGTTATAACTGATTCAAGTACTCACAGAGTAAAGTAAGCTTAACCCATACGTGCATTCTGACTGGTTTGTCGTGTTTTCGCACATTTCTGAATAGGGAGGCGAGTCTCCTTGGGGTTACGGAACGGACGAGTAGTGAGGAATGTGATTGTTGTCGCAGCCGAACATTACCGATTGATTTTCGAAGGGACATAACTGTTGCATGCATAAAACCAATGTGTTACACAGTGCACTCAATGCCGACACAAATCGTGTTGATAAAGAAGTATTGCCGCTTTGTGACAATGCAGTGATAAGACGCCTGACACAGTTCGACACAATCTATTAGGCCATGGGCCGAACCCCCAAATTGTGTCAAATTAAGCTTCATCATATCCGGTGGATACAAAGTTAGGGTTTTATAATTAAGTTTGTTATTTTTAAAGCCTAATAAAACGTATCTTGATAAATCACTTGAACAATAGTTATTTAGAGGCCTTGGAATGGACAGTTCTAAATCAGTGAATCACCATTGTAGCAAGGTATTATTGACCAATCAGAATACAGGAAGCAGCTATTTTGTACGGTACTACAACATGGCCGCGCTCATGGCTTTGGAATGTTTGCGTCACATTACAGACAATAAAATCCGTGGTTTACGTTAATTTACGGATATAACACTGGCAAAAGTGAGTGAAAGTGTTGCAATATGGAAAGAACTAGATGTCACTGAAAACTCTGTAGCTGAGAAACTTAATAAAGCTTCTAAAAGCACAGCTAAGTTCTATCTGAAGTGTTACCAAACATTTACTGATAAGACTAGCATTGGGTGAGCTTTGAAGCAAAAGACAAGGGTTGCTTGCATAAAGGTAGGGACGATTCTCCTCTTCAAAGAAAAATTGCTGGATAATTTGGCACTTTGGCATTGATGCCTTAAATGGTAGATTAGGTAATGATTTATGTGGTAAATATACATGCTCCAC